AAAAAAAATAATATATATATATATAAACATATACATATTTATATACATACACACATACACACACATACATATATATATGGATTTTGAGAAATAATAAATATATAAATATGTATTTACTCACCAAACAGCGAGTGTGAAACTTCTTACGACAAGTATGACATGATAATTTTGGTACTTGATATGTACTGATATGAAAAATACTAAAGCATATATAACACTCTTCAACACCTGCAAATTTCTTATCTAAATTGCGTTTCCACATTAGAAGACCATCCCAAACAGAGCCATTCTAGAAAAGATAATATCAAAATCAAAATGCATATTTAAATATATATTTATTTAATTGAAAAGTATATTGTAATATTTACTTGATGTGTGAGAAATTTAGAGAGTTGCATATAACAGTTTCTCCATTTTACTGTACCATCTATTTGTTGACTGGACTCTACTTTTACGCTACCTAAGGGATAGTTTGATGGTAGTACTATGCTCAATTCTAATTTTGTATCTTCCATTTGATAAATGGCTACTACTTCTCTTGCTGTTGAATGGATTTTTACCTATGATAGTATAAAATATACATTTTAAACTTAAAAATATATCAAGATATAAATTTTTTAAATAAAGTTTTGTATGCATAAAGAGAAGAAAGAAGAAATAATAAATATAACAAATAACAATAAAACGTACCTGCATGTTTTCCACATTAGCCAACTGTAATCTGCTATAAAGAAGTTCATCTTCGCAAAGCTTAGGACTGACATAATGACTTGTAACTTTATCTACTATTGCACTAACTCTGCTATCAACTGTACTCAGCCATTGTCTAACTAATACTGGTAAATGCCGTAAACAATTTGTATATAACCAACATACAATATGATCTAATCTCTTTTCTGTCCAACTTGCTATAACATTGCAATATAATAAAATAATATATAATATATTTTGTATATAAATATATACAATTCATAAACTTACATACATATACATACATACACGCGCGCGCGCGCGCGCGCGCGCGCGCGTGTGTGTGTGTGTGTGTGTGTGTGTGTGTTATGTGCTGTATAATATTGTATATGTGCATATAAACTTTGTATACAAGTGTTATATTAATTTAGTATCTTACCTCTAAAATGAAAAGCTGGAACAGTAGTAAATAATTCTAGGAGCTTTACAGTTTTATTTTTATTATCTTGTAATATTTCCACAGGAATTAATTTAAAGATGTTATTCAATAAACAAGGGAAAAGTTCATTCCTAAAATTTATAATGAAAATATTTATAATAATAAAAAATATAAGATATTTAAGATGTTACAGGTAATAAGACAGAAGAATCATAAAAATAGCTAAACATTATAATATACCTACTTCAATATTTCAGCATATTGATATCGTAAATCATTATGAACTTTTTCACAAATTTCTAATATAATCGCCCATGTTAAAACATATCCTAATGTATATGTATAAGAATCTGTAAACGGTTGGATTGTGCAACTAATAGTATCACATAATCTATAAAAAAAACAATAGTAAGTTAAATAAAATAAATTAAAATTTAATTAAAATTTAATATAAAATATAAATTTAATATAAAAACTTACTTGAAGTCCATAAGCATTGTATTTATAATATTCTGTGTATTTGATAATACTTGTTCAAATTTTCTAATGCTGAAACTACTCGACTCAAAATTATCAGATTCGATAAGAACTTTATCACGTTGTACAAGTTCTGGTATCATATATTTCAATGCATAATAGGCACCCAATTGAATAATAGGTACAGGAGATTGTAATAATTTCAGAGATAGCTTTAACATCTCATTGAAATCGATCGATTTAATGGATTCATCATGTCTGAACAATATATTACTGTCAAATATACAAATTGCCTCTCCCAAGTAATTCAATGGTATAATAGATTTTATACTATGTGTATTCTGATTGCATAAATCCGCGTAAAACATCCAAGTTTGAACAATGCTACTATATATGTTGCCAGCAATTACATCTTTCCATTCGTTCAAGAGCTCTGATGGTAATTCTAGTATTGGCTCTAGTTTATGTTTAATCATCACAGTTTCAATTGCATGATACAATTGACTAAGCGCTGTCATCAATGTTGTTACTTTAATGTCAGTATAATTATGCTTGGCGCTGTTAAGTGACTGTTGCCATTCTGTGAGAGATATTAAGATAATATCCCAATATGCATGTTTTAACTTGGACGGAATATTTTGGACAATTGTCGTTAGCAATCTTATAACTTCGAAGGGTAAAAGTAATTTATCCCATGAAGTGTCAGAGATGTCGTGATTCAAAATTGCGAAAATATCATCATGACGTGACATAGCTTTGTCTATAATAGTATCGTATAATGTAGAAGATTGATATCTGGAAAAGTCGGATATCATAATTCTTGTGGCAACTATTGTATAAATTTCATTGTGTGATAACGTTTCCGGGATATTTTGTGGCCAATAATGATTTAAGATTTGTATTATTTGCACATATGTTTCATCATCATACGCTCCTGCAATCTCATTATTACTATACTTTCTGAAATATTCTACAGAATTTTCAGTTTTGTCTTTCAAGTAAAATTCAGTATAATGTGTGTAAATTATATATGGTAGCATGCATCCGTAACTTTTTTGATTTATTTGTATATGTGATAATACGTCATCATGAATATTCTTTGTAAAATATTTGCGCAAATTGACAAAACTATTTTTTATCGCATCACGAAACTTATCAACGTCATTATAATGTTTAGTGGATGTATAATGTTTGCTGTATATATCTGCTATGCTAACCACATATATGATATTTATCAATATTTCTGTAATTCCTGGTAAATTTAAATCGTTTAATTCAAAATTTCTTTCTGAATTCAAAGATGTGTTAACATCCTCAGAATTAGAGTTTTTTAATCTCTTATACAGATTATTAAGTAAATTTGTGGTAAACAAAGCCCATAATAAACAATTTATTGTATTATCCGAAACAATATCGTTTGTTATATTGATAGAAATAAGTTGCTGCAAAATCTGTATTTTTTTCTCCATATTTGACATGTATAAGTTGCCTGTTAATACTTCGCCATATATTGCAATAACGGTTGTTTCTTCAATCCATAATTTTATATCAGATGCTGTTAAGAATAATAAAATGGTTTCTTCAATGCAATAAGTTTTTATATTGTCGATTATAACTTCCAAAATATCTGTTGCCAAATCTATTAATATATTCTTACTAAAATTTGCATGTGCATTATATATTTTGCTCCAGATAATGATTCCACATCTTTTAATAAGATCATTAAATTCAGAAGTAGATAATACTTGATGACTTCTTATGAATCCTTCTTTCCAATTATTGTGTACAGCATCAGTAATTAAATCGTCATGTTCTCGAGTACATAATTCAAAAAGTGTTTCCAATATTTGTACAGCATTTGATATTGTTTGTTGATGACTCCATAATAAAGACATCAATTTCGTAATAAATATAACAAGTTGCATGGAGCAAGTATCATCTCTTCCATTTAGCGAATCACAAAGAATCGATACAATTTCATTTGCTCCTTCCTCATTTATTAACAAATCTTTAATTTCCGAAATTTCAAATGCTGATAAAATCAGATTCTGATTTTTTTCGAAATCATAGTGTTCATCGTTGCATGAAGCAATTTCTTTGGTCACATCAACTAATAATTTAATCACATTAGTTTGCGTATACCATTTTTTAATCACACGATCATTTTTATTATGTTCAGATAAACTACAAAATATGACATTCCTTGTTATTGCAATATCATTTAACTCGATCAATGATTTTAGAACTTTATCCTTTTCTGTATCATTTATGTATGTAATAAAATAGAATATTAATTCAAGAATTTGTTCCGGCATTTTTGATTTTTGCAATAATAAGGGTTTCAAATTTCTGTCGTAAAATTCAAAGAAGTCTTCATCAAATTTAAATGATTTTGAAAACGCAACAAATAATTCTTTACTTGCAAAATATTTCATTAGTTTATTCAGCTGTCTGATATATTCTGTGCATTGTTGGTCGCCTATCAATATATTTATGGAATTAAAATAAGTTGTACAGAGTGCATTTACAAACTTGCAAAGTTCTGCATTAAAAATTGTATCTGTATAAGTATCGGTCATTTTTACTGTTGATTCATTTATAATAACCGAATCATCTGAATTGGCAAATTTTACTTTTAATTTTTTTCGGGTGCGATCTGGTATATTTTTAAGTTTAATAAGAACTCGATGTGAAAATCTTTTGCATCCATGATATATGGAATCTCTTTTGGCATATATTTGTCAAACAACAATTGTAACTCAATCCAAAATTGCTCCATTAAAAAAACGTAATGATTTATATTTTTCATTAGTACGATTTTTACTCCAATATCGTACTAAATGTGTAATTTCAGTGAAGCAAAACTGTTTCATAAAGATATTATTTGTCATACAAGCTTCTATAACAGGCATAAGTTGTTCCTTAAGAAGTCGAACGCATAAATCTATATTCTCAGCATTTACAAGAATCGAATAACGTAAGCATTCGACAAAAGATGTTGTTACAGCGAGTGTTTCTGAGCGGCTCATCTGCACACTCTTGACAGAAAATCCTTGGCGCATATTGTTAAAGAAATTCGTATACAGATCAATGATATCAACATTAAATTTCGGAAATTGGCTAACAAAAGGTAATAGATTTGGATAAACAGTGCTTGCACAGCACTGGCCGCCAGATCGTAAAACGTGCCACAATTTTGGGAGTACGAGTTTATTAATATTTACGACAAGATGCCAATCATCGATTTTAGTTGTAGCTATAAGCATCGATTCCCACACAGCCGATAAAATTGCAGGTTCTGTTTCATCAAGACTATTCATAATAGTAGTCACTGTTCTTTTCTTTTCATTTTGTAACAATTCTCCTGCATTTTCCATTATCGACGTTAACACATTGAAAAAGGCTGTTTTTATTGGCAAAGCATCATGTTTAGCCAATTTCCAAAACCGCGAATTGCTCAAAATTTTGTTGTGAATTTCCAAAGTTTTGTTGATTTCTTGAAGTGGTACTTTTTTGAAATAACAACTATATCCTTGAAGATTTGCTGCCAATACTCTCTCGTATTTAGCTTCCATTTCTTCACTAGTAAGGGACTTTTGCGTCGATAATGTTTGAGCTGTATGCACAATTATATTGTTGCTAATGTACAATAAAATTTCATACTGGCAATGAACAATCGCGTTAATTATTTTCCAAGGCGGAAATGTGCTGTTGAAAGAATTGATAGCAGCTGAAGCTGCTGGAGGATACGTGTCATATTGAGATGTAAACCAAGCACCAGCCAATTGTTTCAGATACATCGCTATACCTTTACCCATACGTTTGACAACTGCTGCATGTGCTAACTGTGCAGCTTCTCTCACTCTGTGATCTATATCAATGGATAGAGCGCAATAGAATCTCGGCCAAAACGACAACATGCCTTCTATCGCTGACAACTCGGAGTCTTGACATAGAGTTGCAAATTCTTGTAATGCCTATATATATGTATATATATTTTTCTTATTGATTAACAAATTTAAACAAATTGATGATTATAGCAGCAGATTAATTACCTTGTACTTTGTTGTAGCATCTTTTTTGCTCATTTTCTTTAGTATTACTTGAAAATTGGAATCTACACTATTCATTTCAACATCATTTAAAGAACATAGAGATAGACCAGGTAGAACAGGAACATATCCTCCATCCTTAACTGCTGAGAACCCAACAAAATTAGGCATCGCAGTCCCCAAGAGTTCTGCACTGCGGCTACTATTTGATGGCTAAAAGATGTTAAAGAAAGATATGACTGATTAAAATAAGTTAAAAATAAATAGTATTAATAATATCGGTTAATATTACTTTATATTAATAATATAAAGTAAATATAATAATTTAAATAATATAATCCATTTAAAGAGTCACAAAACGACAGATTTCTATAAATAAAATCTGCTATCATATATTATTTAAAGTCTATGTCAAACTACAAATTGAAGAAATTAAGGATTGCACACTAAAGATACGAATCAATCAATCAGATTAATTTAATTCTAATTCTTTTTGTTCCCTTAATCAATATATAATTTAATTTTAATATTCAATTTATAATCCTCATGTTCATTTCTACCAGTATAGATTAATTTTAATTTCGGCTTAATTTATTTTTTATCTGTTTAATTTTAAGGATTAGGAGAAGATAAAAAAATAAATTAAACTAAGACTAAAGTTAATCTGTATTAGTAGAAATGAGCACACATAATCTCCAACACATAATCTGAGGCGGATTTTGAGATTCCGTTGTATTTTCGCAGGCAAAAGTTTTGTGGACGTAAGACTTATAAACAACTATATATAAGACTATATGTAAGACTTATAAACAACTATATCTAAAATCCATTTTTGATATATTTGTATCTAAAATTTATATATTTGGTTGAAATTTGCTTATTATTGTAATTGTCATATTGTTGCTTATGCTACATGTTAAAAGATTTGTTCTTTGCAGCTAAACCTTTTGAACTTTTCTTATTCTCTCTAATGTTATTATTCTATATCTATTTCATTTTAAGTGCAAAAAAGTGCAGCTACACAGACTAAACTGGACGATAATGTAATAACGCGTTTGTAAATTACATACTGAAATCATTATTACATGCGTAATCCATAATTATAAAATTAAGTACGATTGCTATTTACCCGTGCATTATTCTTGGTACGTTGCTTATTTTTACCCATATTGACACTGGTAAAGCGAAATAAAGACGTTCGGTGATCAACAAAAATTTCAGGTCTCCTGTGTTGGACGTGACGTTCGCATCAGCGACATAACCTCATATGATGCGCTTGTCAAAGGGTTAAGCTCTTGTCATATAACCTATATACAGATAATCTAACAGACAAAGGCATCTATATTGATGAAGTGTCTCTAAAAAAGTCCTTAAATTTACATAAGAAATGTTTGTGCTACATAGAGTGGATTGAAGAAAAAAAAATGTTTCTCGATACGTAAGTCCATTGGACACAAAAATAAATTGAACTTCCAGCAAATTACAAAGATTAAAATCAGCCAAATGGGTGTCGGAAACAAGACTGAGCAAAGATTATTGCTCTCTTATTGCTCCTTCACTTGTATCTATCTTTCAGTAATCCTGATACTAGTAAAGTTTAACGATAATCTATATAATGTCGGCAAGTACAAGTTCTTGCCGGTACTAATGATATTAACATTCGCCGAGGTGATAAAGTTGCTGTTTCCTATGCTACAAGCAGAAGTGCCTACTATAATCAAAATAGAGCAACGAGCTTTGTCAAAGACCAAGAGATCCTGGGCGAAGAGTTTGAGAGAAGTCTTTAAGTTTTCGCTTACTGCTCTTGTATTGTCAATAGTTTATTATATAATAATTGTGCTATTTGGGGCACCCGTACTGACTGATCATGAAGAGACAACAATGCTCGTCATTACATTAATCACATTGACTTTTGTACCTACCAGTCTGCACTTGGGGGTAGACAACGCATTGGATATTTTAACAGGGACATATTCCCAAAAGGGTAACATTCTTGCGGATGCTCTAAGGCTCAACATACAGGCAACAATATTAGGCACTTGGCTGGGTGCTACTGTGATCCCTCTAGATTGGGATCGCCCTTGGCAAATTTGGCCAATTCCTTGCATTATAGGTGCACTGCTTGGCTATTTGATCGCCTACTTCATTACCGTCATCAAAACGCTTACCACACTCAAATTACATAGAAAAGTTCATCGATAGTAATAGACATTTGTGTGGAAAAAGACATTGCAGTTTCTCGAATAAAAGTCATTTCATTGAATGAAATATAAATATTATATTATTTACTTTTGCATTTTGATGTATATTGTATATATCAGATAATGTATTAGAGATAATTGCGCATTAATATATAACTAGTCATTCTTCTAATTCATTAAAGTTAATCATATATTATTATTATTTATGATGTATGTATGTATGAGTAAAGATGATAAAATAATTTTAAAGATTATTTTGTATATACAAATTATTGTAGTAATGTTTATAGAACTTTATGATATAAAAGAATTTATTTTTCTATCTGTATTACGCACAAGCTTCTTAGCAGCAATTTTATCAAAGTCTCATCTTTTGCATATCTTTTTTTCATGCTCTTTAAAAAGTATGAAATAAAGCTTCAAAATGTAATTTTGTATCCAATAATTAAATAATTAAATTATTATTAAAATGCAGCAAATAAATTCTGCCAGATGAATTAATGATTAGGTTAATCCATCAATCTAACAAGTGATGATTGACAGAAATCTATATATAAATTTTGCAAGTAATAGGTAAATTGCACGCATCATCAGACATTGATAATACATTTATATAACGATATTTCATTACGTCATGGTGGGACCTTTCACTCTTCATATCAATTATGAGAAAAAAAGAATAGACTCGCATAAATGTAACATTTTTAATTCTAAAAATTTAGGAAAGTATTTTGTTCATGCAACTCGTCTAAAGTGGGTTCAGTATTTGCACGCAAGTTAACCAATATAAACACATGCTAATACACACGTGAAGATTTATTAATACTTTTATTATAAACTTTATTAATAATTTTATAGAAATATATATCTCTCATATTTCTCTCTTTCTTATTCGTTTTTTGCCAATATTTCATGCAGATGAAAATCAAATAAATATCGAACAGTTAATACATTTTTTAAAAATTAAAATATATTCATGTTTAAATCTAGCTTATATATCTTTTTCATTGTCTCTCTTTTTTTAATTTATTAATATATCAGGCAATTTAAATAAATATTGAATAAATAATAAAAATTAAAGGATATATTAATTTTTATGTACAAATTTATCTTATACTTTTTTTACTATTTTTTTTAATTTACTAATTTATCATGCAGATAACTCAAAAAAAATATTAAACAAATATATTTAATAAAATTTTTTTATATTTACTTTTACATCGTTAATCATATTTATTATAATTATACATTCGTTGCCGCTCCACTAATTTACGCGAGATGGATGTAGAAAACTTTATTGTCATTCATGAATGTCATCACAATGAGAAATGACACAAATCATTTGAATCGAATTTACGCAATTCTTGAGAAAAAAAACTCGTGGATAATTTTGGCTGCGTTCCGATATTCACTGACCGTACTGAAAATCTATAATATACGTGACATGAATTATATATTTTCAGTACTAGCAGTGAATATCAGAACGCAGCCTATGATTTGAATTTTCTATTCTATCGTGATCGAGGGAACCAATAAGCGGAATTTTCCATAGTTGCGCAGCTGCCATAGGTCCGTTTTTTCATAAACATAAACGCGTGGAAGTGGAAACGTAAATTGCCGACGGTTCTTCGTTGAGAGACAGTTAAGAAATTCGTTTGTCGCCATTTAGCTCGCGACATTCCCATTCGAAAGATAGAGAGAGATAGTTCGCGATGTCAGACACGGCCGGAAAGGTACGATCGCTATTTGTTTTTGCAAATTTAAATTTTCTTCAATTAAATTTGTTTTCTTTCTTGAGCTTCTTTTATATCAATTAATAGTCTTGCGCTTGTCATGATTTAAAACATCAATATCTTTATCGAGATACATTTTATCACATGGGAACAATCCTTGTTTTTCTTTTAAGCAAGAATGAGATACATGTATTCTTCCTGTGTGAAGTTACTTTTGTATGTGTATGTAAATTGATTTTTAATACATGTTAAGAAAAATGAGATAGGATGAACTTGATAATGTTTGTATGAAATAATAGAATAGAATTTATTTGCATTAATCTTACAGTCAAAAAGGGGACTTGGTTAAAATTTATAAAATTAAATATTTAATCACCCTTCCATACCTTATTATCTGTCTTGTTATATTCCCGTTCTTACTATTCTACTAACTCTTTTGCTTTGATCTTTTCATTTGTTTATAACTTTTGCTGCTTTATAACTTTCCTATTTTATCTTTATTTGCTTACTATTTATTCACTTATTTTTATTATAGCTTTTTATCACAATCTTCAATTAATAGTCTTGTCACGGATCTTCTTTTTTAAAAAAATTCATCCCTTTCCATTGTTTTTTACTCTTGTTGTTTATTTTCCTCTTCCCTTCTTTTTTAAATGCCTTTTCTCTCTCTTTCCACATTTTCCTTAAAACTTTTGTTTTATCTCAATCTAATTCCTTCCTTCATATTCTCTCCATAATCGTCTCTTTATTCCTATCTACCTCCATTCAACAACATTTCTCTGATATTCCCTTATATAATGTTCCATATTATCCTTTCCTTCTCTAAAAAATACATATCTTCTCTTCTCTCTTAACCAATATTTATTTGCTTCTTTTAAATTTTCACATCTCAATTTTACAAGTGCTCTAACATCATCCTCCATACTTTTCTATATTTTCTTTCTTTAAATAACTGGATCTTCTGCTACTTATTTCTATATATCCTTATACTTGTTATACCTAGCCTCTCGAATCTTACTATCTCGCCATTATCTCTGTGTATCTCTTTCCCTTCTTTTTCACAATTCCTTTCCCCAGTATTAAATTCTTCTATAGCTTCTATGCCTCATCTGTTTCTGCTGTAATATCCTGTTTTTCCCTTTCCTTTCCATACCGATCTTTTCATAAAAACAATAACAAAAACAAGATCATATTGTGCAACTTTTTGCACAGATTAATGCATGTTATGGTTATAATAAATGTGATTTCCCCATGATTTATCCAAAATAGATATATTTCTCTTGGAAAAAAAAAAAATTTCAAGATATCTATTCAATTTGCTTAATGTATCAATCAATTAAAATATTCAGCAGTTATATGAAGCAATTATATAAAATAATTTTTATAAAATTATTAATCAAATTATCTTTTTATATTAGTATATTTGCAGCTAATTTTTCAATTTAATTGAGTTTATTTCTCTATGCTCATCACTAATTAATAACACTTCATGATTTAATTTATTTACATAATTTATAAAAAATATTAAGAAAAGAATTTGAATTTATTGATTAATTAAAAAATTTAAATCCTACATTCCTATAAAACATTAAATCCTACAATCCTATAATTAAAGAAAAAAGATTTGACAATAAGAACTGATTTCTTAAGACAAAAGCAACAATATTTAGATCTAATTTATCTAATGATCAAAGTTTTATATTAAAAATATATTAAATTTATTATTGCTATTCTTAGGCTATTAAATGTAAAGCTGCGGTAGCATGGAAGCAAAAGGAGCCTTTATCCTTGGAAGAAGTTGAAGTAGCTCCACCCAAGGCACATGAAGTCCGAATCAAAATAGTAGCTGTGGCACTTTGTCATACAGACGCTTACACTCTAGATGGATTGGATCCAGAGGGAATATTTCCTTGTATACTTGGTCACGAGGGCAGTGGCATTGTAGAGAGTGTTGGAGAAGATGTCACTGAATTTCAACCTGGTAGGTTGATTATGTTATACTTACAAAGAATCTTTTGAGTTGTCTTAAATTATACTATGTCATTTCAATTATGCTTTTTGATGATAACACACATTTCTTTAATAACCTACTGTTTACGTGAATGTTTTTAGGTGATCACGTCATACCACTTTATGTTCCTCAATGTAAAGAATGTAAATTCTGCAAATCACCAAAAACAAATTTATGTAGTAAAATTCGGGAAACCCAGGGTAAGGGTGTAATGCCTGATGGTACATCTCGTTTTACCTGTAAGGGACAAACAATTGCCCACTTTATGGGTTGCTCCACCTTTTCTGAATATACAGTAGTAGCTGACATTTCTCTGGCAAAGGTACTTGTATATACTTTCATAAGGATCACCGTCATAATTCAATATTTATTTTATTACAATTACTACAAATATTTGTAGATTAACCCTGATGCACCTTTAGATAAGGTTTGCTTGTTGGGTTGTGGAATACCTACAGGTTATGGTGCAGCTTTAAATACTGCCAAGGTAGAACCAGGAAGTACCTGTGCTATTTGGGGTTTAGGAGCTGTTGGTCTTGCTACAGCTTTTGGTTGTAAGAAATCTGGCGCATCTCGTATAATCGGAGTGGACGTCAATCCGGCCAAATTTGAACAAGGTAAATTACGAGATTGTATACTATATAACAAAGTATTAATCTTTCATAAAAATAAAAAACATCTTTCGTAGTAGATTTTTTTATAAACATAAATTTTTATAAATACTTTTATATTTGTTTCTAGCTAAAACGTTTGGCTGCACGGAATTTGTTAATCCTAAAGATTATGATAAACCTATTCAGCAAGTATTGATCGAGATGACTGATGGTGGATTAGATTATACTTTTGAATGTGTTGGAAATGTAAACACTATGGTATGTATTTATCCATTTTTTTTTTTTTTATATGAAGAATTTTGTCTTATAAAAATTATTTTTCAGAGAGCTGCATTAGAATCCTGCCACAAAGGATGGGGAACATCTGTAATAATCGGAGTAGCTGCAGCTGGTCAGGAAATCAGCACTAGACCATTCCAATTGGTTACAGGACGAGTATGGAAAGGGACTGCATTCGGCGGATGGAAATCAAAGCAGAGCGTTCCGAAATTGGTGCAAGAGTATTTGTCAAAGGAATTGATTCTCGATGAATTTATCACGCATAAGCTTCCGTTTGAAAAAATTAACGAAGGTTTTGAAATATTACTTTCAGGGAACTGGTAAGTCTTAGAAAAGTTTATAAAATGAATATATTGATTATTATAAAATGAATATATTGATAACTTATGCACATGTGCAAAATTTTATATATATGTATTTTATATATATATATATATATTTTTTTTGTTGCAGTTTGAGAACTGTTTTGAAATATTAACGACATAATTTCTATTTCATACTATAAAAATATGGCCTATTAGAAACCAATGTCTTCCGCAATTTATAAAAATATAAATAAAAAAATGTCTAATATATGCGCGCATATATATGACCCTGCATGCAT